CACTTTGCCCCATAGCAGGAACAACTATGTACAAACAAACAACAAAAATCAATTCTCCTAGAAAATACAACACTATCAATTTATCTATACTGATATGCACTGGGTATAACTATACTGATATGGACTGCGTAATGTGTTAGGAACATAAGGATGCCCCATTGTTTGATGGAAAGGAAAATGATCAACCTACAGAGGACTAAATTCAAAGACACCCGAAAATCAAAGTGAAAAAATGATGCAGCAGGCTGGTCCATTTTGCTGAAATTTTATTGCAGCAACTCAAACTGGTACTCAGTAGTTTGTATGGCCCCCATGTGCTTGTATGCATGCCTGACAACACCGGGGCAGGCTCCGAATGAGACGACGGATGGTAATTCCTCCCAGATCTGGACCAGGGCATCACTGAGCTCCTGGACAGTCTGAGATGCAACCTGGCAGTGTCGGATGGATGGAAACATGATATCCCAGAGGTGTTCTATTGGATGTAGGTCAGGCGAGCATGGGGGCTATTCAATGGTATCAATTTCTTCATACTCCAGGAACTGCCCGCATACTCTCGCCACATGAGGCCGGGTATTGTCATGCACCAGGAGGAACCCAGGACCCACTGCACCAGCATAGGGTCTGACAATGGCTCCAAGGATTTCATCCTGATACCTAATGGTAGTCAGGGTGCCATTGTTTAGCCTGTAGAGGTCTGTGTGTCCCTCCATGGATATCCCTCCCCAGACCATCATTGACCCACAACCAAATGGTCATGCTGAATGATGTTATAGGCAGCATAACATTCTCCATGGCTTCTCCAGACCCTTTCACATCTGTCACATGTGCTCAGGTTGAACCTGCTCTCATCTGTGAAAAGCACAGGGCACCAGTGGGGACCTGCCAATTCTGGTGTTCACTGGCAAATGCCAATCGAGCGCTATGGTGCTGGCAGTGAGCACAGGGCCCACTAGAAGATGTCGGGCCCTCAGGCCACCCTCATGAAGTCTGTTTCTGATTATTTGATCAGAGACATTCACACCAATGGCCTGCTGGAGGTCATTTTGTAGGGCTCTGGCAGTGCTCATCCTTTTCCTCCTTGCACAAAGGAGCAGATACTGGTTCTGCTGATGGGATAAGGCTTCTACGGCCCTGTCCAGCTCTCCTGGAGTAACTGCCTGTTTCTTGGAAGACTGTGCTGGGAGACACAGAAAACCTTCTATCAATGGCACGTATTGATGTGTCATCCTGGAGGAGTTGGACTGCCTGCGCAACCTCTTTAGGGTCCAGGTATTGCCTCATGCTACCAGCAGTGACACTGACCCTAACCAAATGCAAAACTAGTAAAAAACAGAAAAAATGAGTAGGGAAAAAATGTCATTGGCCTCCACCTGTAAAACCATTCCTATTTTGGGGGTCATCTCATTGTTGCCCATCTAGTGCACCTGTTGCTAATTTCATTAACACCAAAGCAGCTGAAACTGATTAACAACCCCCTCTGCTACTTAACTGACCAGATCAATATCCCAGGAATTTAATTGACTTGATGCTATACTCTGATTAAAAAGTGTTCCTTTTAAAATTTTTTGAGCAGTGTATATCCAGAAGAAACTCTTTGTATTTTTTAGATTCAGATGATCATTGCTTCACAATTGTTCCTTCATGTAACAATTTCTAAGATGAAATCTTGGAACAAGAGCTGTGTTTGTACAAGTGAGATTTAATTAAAAGACTCTTCTTTTCTTGTACCGCTGCATAATCTGCTCTGAATAGATCTTGTAGTTTTGAGATTACAACTGGTGAAGGTCATGTAACAACTTACTGTTTTCATATAGGTTTTTCACAGCTGCCGACTTGAGAAATGAAGGGGTTGACTGGCCTATGCGCCATCACTATCTGAATTTTACCCATTGTGCTGCATTCTCTATAGTGTGAACTACATGAAAGCTAGAATGAAAGTAAAAATCCCTTGCAGTTGGCACGCTGGGACAGGTGCAGAGGTTTTGTTGCCTAAGATTACGTGAAAGGTATACAAAACTGTGAGTATGAGCTTAAAATGGTTCTAAAGCCTTAGGTTGCATTCTGTGCATTAAGGTAAAAAAAAACCTTCTGCGTCCTGGAACCCCCCCCCTCCCCCCAGTGCCCCGTTATACTTACATGAGCTCGATCTCGAACCAGAACTGTGCATGAGAACAGTTGCTCACTCAGCTCTCTCCCTCCTCTCTCTCTCCTCACTGGGCAGATTGACAGCAGCGGGAGCCATTGGCTCCCGCTGCTGTCAATCAAATCTTATGGCAAAGGATCTGGAGGGGCAAGCCTCACTGTCTGTGTCTATGGACACAGGCAGTGGGGCTTGGGAGCAAGCCCGCATGAGTACCCCTCCTAGCAAGTGGCTTGCTAAGGGGGATACTCTGAAGGCTGGAGGAGTCAAGAATGCTGTCGGGGGACCCTAGAAAAGGACGATCAAGGCTGCTTTGTGCAAAACCATTGCACAGAGTAGATAAGCATAACATATTTGCTATTAAAAGGAAATTAAATGTTTAGAATCACTTTAGAGGATAACTTTACTTTATTTTATGGAATTCCCTATTCCGCCAAAGTCCCCTACTACAGAACTCAGATCAGCTGGTGGCCACCTGCAGTCAGATTTATTGAGCTGGTGGACCATGCTGTGCACCTATGGACATTTTCCACAGGTCCCAATGGAATAGTGATTTCCCTGCATGCTGCTGATTGATTTAAGGAATATCTGTTACTATCTGCTGTTAATAGGCAAGCATCACAGCAAACCCTCCTGTATAGTTAGTGGTATTTCAGACTAGCGTTAGCCAGAATGTTGATGTTACACATTTTGCACTTTGGACTCTAATCTATCCAGATTCGGGAGTATTATTGCCAAACATACTGAATGGTATTGCCAACCACATGGGATTATGCAAATTGTTCATTTGAATTTTTTTTATGCTTTAGGAAAAGTTTTCAAAAGCCACTATATTACCTCCATATTGACTGAACATTTACATGAACAAAATGTGTAAAAAAGGAAACCCCACAATGCACTGTTAAGGTAAAGGTGAGAATGTGCAGAGCCAAAGAAATGTTATTGTGTGAGTGTAAACCTGATCATCTACTGAACTGGTATTGGTAAGGGAAAGTGGCCTCCCCCTTGGTGGTGCAACTATAGCTCCCCATCAGTATGTCAAACATCAGGAGGCCTTGGCCTCCATGTACCATGAGCTTCAGTCATTCACTTAGAACATGGAGCCCTAAGCTGCGACCAGGTTAATTCATAAGGCCGTGCACAAGCGTTGCTCTGGGCACCTGGGGAGCTACATGTAGCACTACCCCCTTAAGGGTTGCTTAGTAATGTTTGGGTTCCCTGTCAATCTGGACCTCTTGTTGAAAGCCCAACCTGACACCACCGTGACCCAGATATAACACACCTGCAAAATGGATGCACACACAGAGCAGTATAAACCAAAATTAAGTTTAAATTAGACTTGGAGGTAATTGATTCAAAAATTGCAAAATAACACTGGTATTGGCAGCAAATCTGGTCAATCTTGGCAACTGTGAGCAAAAGCGGCAACATTCACAATAAAAATAACAGTATATACAGTATTAGCAGGCCTGCTTTCAGAAATAATCCACTGCCTCCAGTCTGAGAGGACTGTTGAATCCCCAGTGAGTAGGAATGACTATCAATAATAGGTAAGATCATTGTGGTTCTCAGAACTAAATAACAAGGATTAAATGTGAAAAAGAGATTTCTAGGTAGTGTCCCCTTTAAGAGCTCTATAATGTCTTCTGTGCACTCCTTGGGGCCCAATGGATGTGAAATTGAGTCAAAGGGTGGATGGTAGTTCCCTAGAGTTGTCACATCCAACATAGTGAAGGAAAAGGAGAAGATTTAACACTTCCCTGATTGAGCATTAAGAATTAGTGTCAGGTTCCCTTTAGGAGCTCTAATTGTGAACTGAGCTTGAAGTAGTAAGTAGCATCAATTGACATAAATGTCTATGGACAAAGACAACTCCCTCTAAGTGTCAAAGGCAAAAGATGAACAAAGGTAGGAATCTTGCTCTGCAGACCGGACATGAACTTGTTGATTTAGTTGGCACTGCTGCGTCTTGATCTGTGTCCTGAGGTCAGCTTGAATGATAACTGTAATGCAGATATGTTCCAAACAATGGTGCTGGTATAACTAGGCCGCAAACTGGGGCAACTTTATGTAATGTTCACTATGTGCAAGCAGATAACTGAGGTGACGAGCTATCAATGTTCACTTTGTTAGTGCATGCATGGGTCTCTCTCACCCGATCACAATGTGGTTTAGCAGATGGCCGCGATCTTTCTTTCACAATGGATAGGGACAGTCCATGGGCCCTCTGATTCAGACTTGGCATTCAGCTCTGTCTTCTGCTTTTAAAGTGACCTGCTTGGCAGCATAACGGGCTGAATGGTCAGTAAGTTCTTTCTGCTCTCTCTTCAATCCTGGCTTTGCAGCCTAGTTCAACACTTCAGTAATCAGCACACCTCCTTCCCCTTCAATCTCCCTCTGCACTCTCCTGGCCAATCTTCGGGGCTTTGATATCTATATGCCCCTGCCCACACGCTACCTTTCCTGGACAAGCACTCTGCTTATCAGCCGAGTCCTGCTGTTCAGAAATATAAGTTCCAGAGGGCTGTTCTATCAATGTGAATAATCCTAAATTGCAGACTTTTGCCATCTAATGTCCGTTTTAAAGTGTTACTAAACCCAGGACCCAGCATTTACTCCCGCAGTACACAAAACATGGAATTGCAATTATTTTAGTAAATTAAACCTGCTAAATACCTCATCAGCAGTCTTGTAACCTCTATCAGTGTCCAGCAGGGCACATGTTAAATCTTGTAGGAGAAGTTTTCATTTTGCTCTAGGAGGATGCAGAACCCCTGACCTCTGTCTGGACAGTGCTGATTGGCCCTGTGCTGATCACATGCACTCTCCTAAGAAAAAAAACCCTCTCTAGCAATACACACCAAACTGAGAATGTGCAGAGTGACTTTATACGACATGTCTTATCAGGAGATAAGAGGGGGACAATGGAAGAAGGGGGAGGATCAGAGAAGTCAGGATCAAAAAGCCTTTTTACACAATGCAGAGGATTAACCCCTTAGGTTCCACAGTGCATGCTATACTGCATATATATAGAGAATGGTTTTACTGTTGTGGGTTTAGTAACACTTCAATGTATTGCAAGTAATAACATGTCAATGGGTTACATACACAAACCAGAGGATGAACAAAACATGGTCTAGTGCAACCATCATACTGTGTGTATGTATATATATATATATATATAGAGAGAGAGAGAGAGAGAGAGAGAGAGAGAGAGAGAGAGAGAGAGAGAGAGAATGAGAATCGCTTATAGGCTGCAATGGGCATCCAGAATGGAAAAGCCATATTCCATTTTAGAATGCCTTGGCTTACTGTAAGGCTCTGGCTGCAGAGAACAGCCACAACTCACCAGGAGGAGGTACTTACACCCTAAAAAGCCAGCGGCTAGTGTTTGGAAACAAGCAGGAGTTCTCATATCAGCATATTACCTTCAAAAAGAACTTGGGTGGAATAGTGCACTACATCAATGCCTGCATGAAAGATTGAAGCTCTAAGTCAGTTAGCTAAGCTCCTTGTATACATTTCAAAGTCTAATTTACAATTCTGCCTAGAGTGCACCTTCAAATGTTCCCAAGGACATGCATAGAACCAACTATAACCTAGCATAAGACCTAACAGCGCACAAGGGCACTTATGCCACTTAATATGTCAGAGTGTTAATCAGAAATTAATGTATAAAGAGGATGGACAGAATGCAAATGTTCCCCACATAACTGTGCATTGTAATATTTAATGTATCAGTAATGAGTACATTGCAATGTTTAATGGAAATGTATAGTCCTGTTTAATGGAACTGTAATAAGTACATTGTAGTGTCTAATGGAAACCTAATACATTTATTGTCCATTAATGTACCTGTGGAGGACATTGGGAAATGGCTCCAAATGTTGTATTTTAAGTAAGAGCAGGAAATATCCACTTTGTGAAATGTATTTCTGTTACCTAACATGGCAGTGCAACTGCAAAAAGTAAAATCAATGACTGGGCTACAAATGTTATTCAGCAATCCTTGCGGTGTTAATATCAGAAGGCTCACTCAGTTGAACAATAACTTTTTTAGTTAAAGTGTTACTAAACCAGGACCCTGAATTCACTATATCTGATCTCCCACAGTACACACAACATGGAAGTGCAATTATTTTAAATACCTTTTCTCATTAGCAGTTGGAGCAGTCTTCTGACTTCTATCAGTGTCCAGCAGAGCACTGGTTACAGCTTGTAGGAGGAGTTTTCATTTTGCTCTAGGAGGATGCAAAACCCCTGACCTCTGTCTGGACAGTGCTGATTGGCCCTGTGCTGATCACATGTACTCGCCCAAGAAAAAAAAAAAAAAACCCTCTTTAGTAATACACACCAAACTGAGCATGCGCAGAGTGACTCCACACAATATGTCTTATGAAGAGATAAGAGGGGGACACTGGAAGAAGGGGAAAATCAGGATCACACCGCTTTTTACACAATGCAGAGGATTAACCCCTTAGGTTTCACAGTGAGTATAACAAGCATGCTTTACTGCATATACAGATTAATTTTACTGTTGTGGGTTTAGTAACACTTTAACTGTAGCCAGATTTAGCTGTTTTTGCACTGTACTCTGAGCATTGCTGCAGCCTCTTGTCATATAAGTTTGAGCAGAGCAACCTTTCTCGCCCTAAGAGTGTGTAGCAGTGCGCAGATGGTTTAATGAGAATTATGTAGTCAGACCCCTCTAATATATAAGCTATCTGCATTTGAGAACAGAGACTGTCTTAAGCTGGCCATACATGGATCGAAATTTGGCCGATTCAGCATGGACCCAGCAAATTTCGATCCATGTATGAGCAGGGTGGATTTACAGAAGTCAATCTACCAACTGATGTCTGTGCAATCAGTTTGTTGGCAGTACTGATTAGTGTATTCTGGCAGCATGGAAGTCTCTCCACTGTCAAAATACAATGGCTCAATTGCAGAAGTGCTTATCCATTTATCTGAATGTGATTGATTTACTAAAAATGGAGATAGCAAAATCTGGTGCAGCTGTGCATGTCAGCCAATCAGCTTCTAACTTCAGCTTGTTCAATTAAACTTTGACAATAAAATCTGGAAGCTGATTGGTTTCTATGCAGAGATGCACCAGATTTTGCACTCTCCAGTTTTAGTAAATCAACCCCAGTATGTGGATGGAGGAAATTAGTCCTTTTTTTCATTTACCTGCTGGTTGAACGAAAAAATTACACATCTATGGGCTGCTTTAGTTATTTTGCAGTGTACAGGTCAGTGACTAGAGCTTTTAATTGTGTCCATATGCCCCATATTGGCACTATTTGCTATGTATGTGTAGCACTACCCCCTTAGGAGTCGCTAAAGATTTGGGTCCCCCTATAGTCCTGCACAGCCAGGCAGCACACGGACTTTTCACACAGACTTGCATCCAGGAGAAGGTAAACAGTCCTTGAGCTTGTTTTTTTATTTCATTAGGGGATGATAACTTAGAAGGGGTAAGGGGTGTATGGGATACCCAGGGGAATGGAAACTGGGGACAATCTTCCTGGAACTATGTACAAGTCTCTTTAAACAGCAAAATTCTCTTCTTTGAGAGCTAGCCAGCCGCTCCTAATGTACCAACCCAGACCCCAGCTGTCTGAAGGATTCCCTGGGTAGGAGATCCAGTGCCTGTCACTTTCATTCTAAGACAGTCCTGGGTGGAAAGCTAATTTAGTTTCCCACCAGAGTGCTCCTTCCCCTTACTGGCCCAGGGGGTCAAGTCTACTCACTTAGTCCTCTGTCTGTGAGCTGGTGGGTTGGATGCTGGTCTCAGGCCTTCTGCTGGGCCTCTCCTTCCTTGCTGCACAGGAGGTCCTTGCTCTGGGGGCCAATGAGGACCTGAGATTTTCTTCTTTTCAGTTGTACTGTCTGAAGGTGGGCTCCTTTCCAACTCTACCCCCTCCCAGGCCTTCCTCTCCTCAGCTTCACTCTCCATCTTCCACCTGAACTCTCCTGCTGCTGAGCAGGTTCTCTCAAATTTAAGGGCTGCTCCAGCCCCATGCCAAGCCTCCTGCTTGGGGATTGGCCAGGGTCCCCTAAGTGTGCAGGTCAGCCCCTCCTCACCCCCGCCCACTGCTTCTGGAATCTTCTCAAGATTCTAGAGCAGGGGGAGGTATCAGGGAACTAACCTGCAGATCCTCTCAGTCCGATCTAAAATAACCCTCTAGCTTAGCTTAGTCCAAGCTGCTAATTAGCCTTTCTAGCTGAAAAAAGCCTACTCTAGCTCCACCTAGCTATCTAGGAGGGTGCTACATATGCTATGAGCAAGAAAGTATTTGTCATTGTGCACAGTAAAGTAAGGACTGGCAAGGTAGGGATACTTTCTATGCAGTTGACCAGCTTGAACATGAATTGCAATATATTTGAATCAAGAGTCCCTATTTTATGCAAACATTTGCCTGAACTATATAAGGGTTTGTAGTGTAGTAGCATGCAGAACGTTAATTAAGAATTGTGAATTGAAAACAGGGACTACACTGTCTAGTGTCTCCAAAGGCACGGATTCAAGACTAATCAAAGAAAAGGCCCAGTGGCAGGGGTTTAGATGGCTGTTATCCCTATTTGATTTTGTTAAACCCTGAAATTTGTTTATGCTGCTTTGATGAATGGATGCCCAAACCAAATTTAGCAGTGTCAGTATGTGTTGGGTACTGAGTCATCCACTGCACTCTGGTTTCTATCTATGTAGCTATAGGACCAGTAGATGGAACCACAGAGCATAGAATTCCGTTTTGGTAAAGTTATTGAGACTATTCTCTCATAAGTGCCAGTAACCATCAACTTTTTAAGTTAAAAAGATAATATTTAAATATATTTTGTATTTTAATGTCATAAATATGAAATACTGAATTTAAACAATTTGCAACTCCCATGTACAGAACTAGATGGTATTCTTGACTCTTTTCCAAGTGTTTACAAGGCCAATTTACAGCTTTACTAAGAGAAGACCTTTGTTTACAGATCTCAAAAGCTCAAGCTCCAATATACAGTACATAAAAGAGAAAGAATTCAAAGGAGGTTGGTCACTGTGGAATATTATATACAGTATGTATACTCCATATCCTATTTAGAGCCAGCAGCTGGAATTCTTGGCACATTTTCACATATTCTCTAGACCAGCCTTTTTCAATGGGTGCCTTCCGGGTTCTTCAGGTGTGCCTTGGCAAAATGCCTAAAAATTGCCCCAAATTGCTTAAAACATGTCTGCAAGCCAGCTGGTGGATCAAGCTTGCTTTTTTGTTACACAAAGTCCAGGTTTTTATTGTGCAACACACTGTGCAGGCTAGCTGCCAGCATCCTAACAACCACTGATGTCATTGGTTGAGAAGGAGGACAACAGACACCTGCACAGCATCCTTGTTTGATGCCCCCTTCTCCACCACCACCACCACCCCCAACTGTCAGCACTGAGGTCACGTTACCTGTAAGAGATAATTAGGAAGAAGAAATTCTGGAATACTAGTCAGTACCAGTGTGCAAAAGTGTATTTGCTTTCAAAGAATGTATCACCTCTAAAGTTGGGTGTCTTAAGAGTGGAGATGCTGTTGTGATATGTAAAACTATTCATTTAGTTTTTTTTTGGCATGTTAAAACGGGGTGCCATAAGATTGACCATACTTATAAGGGGCGCCTTGACTGGAAAAAGATTGAGAAACACTGCTCTAGACTAGCTTTACCTGTTTGGAAAAAGTCTGTCATTTACTGAGCTCAATAGCTGAAGCACACATGTACACACAGAAGTGAATTAATCAGAGCAGCAACCCCCCCCTTCCTCAAATAAATTTTGTCTCTTCAGAGTGGTTGTACACTTTCAATCAGAAATAGAGAGTTTAAAGCAAACATCCTTCTTCTCAAGTGCATGATTCTTTGTAAATCTTTTGTCTTAGATGCACATTATATAAAGTTTTTATATAATATAATGCATTAGGAAAAAAATAGTATAAA